GTTTAGAAGTTATTTTTTTACTTTGTTGTTACATTTTTTGCTACATAAGAGATTGTTATTGGAAAAACCTAAAAAACTTTTCCTGGTTGAATACATAATAAAATATTTGGCAAATTTATTTTTCCCGTCTTGCGAGTGGAATAAAGATTAATAACGACGTACCTAAACTAAAATAAATATCTGAAAGTCGGAAGAAACATCGAATCAGGCCAACCAGGAAAATACGCATCAACAATCAGATGAATAATTTATTTAGGAAAGAATAAATCGAAAGGAACACATATACCAAACCCGTGACATCAAGTTTAAATTTACCAAAACTGTTTGCTTTCAACTTCTTTACTCCTTTGAATAAATAATGATAAACTAAACTAATAAAAGATTAAATTGTCGAAAGCCTGTATTAAATTATTCATCGTTAGTAGTAGTACGCTGGGCCTAGATTGGCACCCCTTTTGAATCGTTTGAAATTTTAAACAGCCACCCATCACGATTAGACTTTTTAATATCAATCAACCGATCGAACAATAGCCATTGTATTAATTCGAGTCATCTTTCCCTAACCCACATAAATAACAACAACACAACGTGAAAAGCGACTAAAAAAATTCATGATATGTCACATGCACAGCCGAACACAGACAGAATGCCTTGTTTCCGGCCTGCGGTCCTTACACATCAGGCAGAAAACAGGCATTTTTTTGGTTAGTTTGTTAGTAAAGCGGTGTTAGTACCTGAATGACATGCTTCCAATTTGATACCTGGTTGCAGTGACCGCAGCGGAAGGGCGCTTGGCTCCCTTTCGCTGACGTGCTAACACTTGCCTCATCTTTCTCGGGACTGGAACCTCGCAAACTCAAGTCCTGACTGGGGCTGGACGCAGAAACGCCCCCGCCGGAGCCCTGCGGGTAGTGGCCCTTCACGTGCGCCAAGAGGATCTCGCGAGAAACGTCCCTAGGAAAAAAAAAAAAAACAAATTTTAAATACAATCATTACCGTGCGATCAAAAAACACAAAAAATTAGAAAAATTCTACAGTTGGCAACACATTGGCTGGGAAAATCACCATTCACGTTTTCGTCTTGTACAGCAATGATAATTTTCTGCTCTAAAGTGAACATTATTTCACTCAAAAGGTATAAAACGCAAACTTGTCAAAGTTTCCGATGACATTTGATGTCAAAAATCAGGATTGCCATCTGAAGGACTTTAATCACCGCCTACTCTAATTTATTTTTTTTTTGATCGCACGCTACAAAAGACATTATATTAAATCAGTGTCTTCTAGAGAAATTAAAAGCGACTTTCTTGTCACACAATCAGTAAGTGTTGTGGGATCACCCTGTATTGTTCGGTATTTACGAAGTTTGTTGTTTGTCAATATTATTTAAAAATTCTCCTCTTTTTCATATTAATGTGCATCAAGTAGGTTGTAAAATTGTAAATGCATCTTTAATTTAAAGGCCGATTCACACAAATAGTGTCATTGATGTCATTCAGAACAAATTTAATCACATCAGTAATGACAAAAAAAATTGTATGTTTGCCACCCGACGTTAATTACGTTGTTAGCTTTAATTATTTTTTGCTATCTCATAAACTGGGGTACACATTTTTAGAGAAGATTGAGTTTAGGATTGTTTGAATTTTCGCATGGTTGCCAACTTAAAATGATTCCTTCCAACGACTACTTCGATGCACATTAATATGAAAACGACTATATAAAACCACCAAACTGCTTAAACTATTTATTTTTTAGAAAAACTAATTGATGAATGATACAGTACTATAACAAGAATAAAATTTTTCGAAATTTTCTTTTGATTTTGAATTCTATACATTTTTTTAAAATTTTTTAATGGCAATCCACTATTTATAGTTTTTCTCATGAAGTTTGTAGTGTTTGTAGAGGATGTATTAAATGGATATGGAATTCTTTATAAAACTTCTGTATTTTCAAATTATGACTTGTATATAAATTAATTGTAACTTGAAGTAACTAACAACAGTAATTCCAACGTGTATTTGATCACTTGATCCAGAACAAAGGTTATGATCTAAGGATTACGACTATCCACTTTATATTTAATTTTTTCATTTTTTTATATAAATTGCAATTTTGAAAAAATTATCGCATAATTCAAAAACAAACAAAATTTTCGTTTTCAAAATACGATCACATTTTTTATATTACTTTAATTTATATTAATTATTTTGTGATGACAAATAAAAAACGTTTGGTTCTATACTTTATATTCACCTTGTATGTTATTTAGTGTCAATAAGTCTGTCAGATTACATAAAATTTTAAATAAAGAAAAATAAACTCTTTTACGACATCGTATAACATTGACAACCAAAATTTAATGCTCGCGAATGCTTTTTCTGTTGTTTTTTTTTTTAATATAAACTTCAGAAAGAGCCATTACAGTTGAAAAAAGAATAAAAATTAACACAAATTGGAAAATGAAACATCAAAATTTTGATACTTGTTGAAAAATCGGTGTAAAGTAGGTTTTAACGTCAAATTTGACTTTTCAAACGTCAAAATGTCATCACTGACAATAATTATTAGTGACAAGTTGAAAGTGAGGTTAATATCTAAAGACCGTTTTACAATTTTACATTAAAACCGGTTAAAAAATTAGAGAATTCGTTTAATTAATTTCATGACGAATAGTACTTACTGTAATTTTGTAATTAATAAGTTTTAACGCTTTATCAAACTCAACTGATAAGGATGAGTAATTGAGGTGTGCATTCTGAGCTAAATTTACATTAAGAGAAAATCATTTTTCTTCCGTCTTTTGCATTTCTCTTAATACTTCCTAATCTAATTTCTGTGATTTTCTGTGATTTTCAGGGTCAAAATTTGGTTATTTCAGAAAAAATTAGAAAGATTAAAAATTTCAAAATCACCGTCTCATCAGGAACTGACGTTACGCTTAAATTCTGAAGAAAAATCTCTAATCAGTATAGCAAGTGCTGGTCTTTAACGTTTTTTTCCAAATTATAAACAATATGTGCAATAAACTTTTTTACACCAATTACCTTAACACTTGACGTGAACAAACCGCACAATAAAAATTTTCCACTCACCTAAAATTACACTTCTTGCATTTGAAAAACGTCCTCTTATTATCCACATTGGACCTCTTATTCTTATCAACTTTGAAAAACGATCCATCGGCGGCTTTCAACGGCGGCGGCGGCCTCAACATCGGACTAAAATCATTCCCAGATGGCGCTCGCGTCAATTTCGGTAAATCACCCTTATTTTGACTCGGCGAGGTGTTCCTATCATGGTGCTTGGGCCTCGTCCCCGACCCTCCACTCGTATCCAAACTCTGATTCCCACTCACATGGATCTCAGTCAAGTATTTATTGTACTTGGTGTAATTCCTGCGTCCCGTTTCGTCCGTCATCAAAACCTTGGCGCTTTCATGCGCTGGGTCTCTCACCGATTTCAATTTGATATGTTTGGTAATGTCCCATCGCCAGTTCGACCTGTAGGCGCAAAGTGAGCATTCGAAGGGCTTCTTATTCAAGTGCCCTACAATATGCACGTGGAAACGCGACGCCGTCGAGGCCCAAAAGGTGCAATGGGGGCACTTAAAGACACGTTTGTGCTGCGCCACGGTGATGTCATTCCCATGGGTGGGAATCTTGTCGGCGACGGGGGAGTGTAGATGGGTGGTGGTGAATTCCTGTCCCACGTAGCTGCTCTCACTGCGTTCACTACCTCCAGGTGATTGGGTGCGCACTGAGAGGTCCAAGGAGACGTTATCATCGACTTTGTACTCATATTTCGAATCATCAACTTCCACATCCATGGGGAATTCAATGTTGTTCCAGATGAAAACACGATTCTCCATCGGATGGGGTTTATTATTGTTGTTGGTTTCACCATCCTCGGATTGGCTTTCGTCGATTCTTAGCTCGTTTTCGGACTCGTCGGCCGCTTTGAGGGCTTCGGGACATGTCAATTGATGGGTGTAGAGGCCCTGACTCGACTTGCACCTCTGTCGGCAATACTGACACCTGGAGGAGCTCGTGAACGTACTCGGAGTTTGAGTATGGTTGTCTTTACCACATTTTTTCTGATGTTTGATTTGTTCCGATAAACATTTGCTCTTATGTCCGCACAATGGACACGTCATGGAGTTGGTGCTACTCATGAGTTTCTCTTTGAGTTTGTCAAAGAAGGAGGCATTCTTTTGTTTGAATTCATCGGTGGTGGTTTGTTTAGTGGTTGGGATGAGATCAGGGATTTTAGTTTGACAATTTTCAAAGACGTCTTCGCTGCCAAACAACGACGCAAAGTCCTTGAGGGCGCTGTTGGCCGATTTGGCGCAAATATCGTTAATGTCTTGCTCTGTCATTTCAGGTTCTTGCTCCTTCTTCACCTTGGAGGGTATGGGGATGAGATTGGGTATGGGTCTTGTGGGTTTCTTATTCGGTTTCGGGTCAGTATTAATATTGTGTACTTTTTGCTCGTGTCTGGTCATTTCTGAGGCCCATGCTGACTTGTAGTTACACAACTTGCACTTGTTTTTGATGTAGACGTTGCCATTGGCGTGGTGGATGATGTCATCCGGGTTGATAAAGTCCGGTCCGAAGGAGCCCTGCTCGGGACTGTGCTTGGTTTTCTTTTCCGTTTCGGGGGGTACCTGTCGTGCGAAACGGAATTAGTCGAGTGTGGGCGCTCGGCGGCTATTATAAGTTCGAGAGCTGTAACACCGTCGAAACGCGTCGCGGCCCGCTGAGGCGACTACTGAGCGAGTTTATCGCGTTGTTACGCCCAAGGCAAAGATCGGCGTGGCGTTATCGAGCGCACACACCGATAACACCTCGCTGATAACGCTTACCTGTTCTTGGCGCGCGGCCTCCTCGGCGGCGGTGGCGTCGCTCGCCCCCACCTTGTTGCGTCGGCGCCCCACCCCCAGGCCCGCCGCCTGGCCCACGGGCGGCACATGGTGGTTCATCTCGTGCACGGTCAAACTCTGCTTGATGTCGGCGGTGAAGTTGCACGCCGAGCACCGGAAGGCGCCCTTGCCGTTGTGGTTCTTGCAGTGGCGGTCCAGGTTCCACTTGTAGGGGGTGCGAAAGTCGCACATGTCGCACTTGATCATCGGCATCGAGTGGTATTTGACGTGTTTGGTGAAGCGCGCCTTCATGTGGGTGGCGTATGTGCACTTGGTGCATTTGAAGAATTTTGTCTTGATGTGCTCGGCGCGCTCGTGGCGATCGAGTTGGGCTCGGGTGCGGGCGCTAAACGCACAAACTGAGCATTTGAACACCTGGGGAACACGAATTTTAGGTTGGCGACTCTTGGATTCGGGGTTTTTTCTAATATTTACAAGTCTGATGTATGTCATTTTTACACTAATGACATGACAGCTGTCACAATGATTAAACGTTCTTAAATGACGACTTTAAATAAGATAGCTGTGTTTTTTTATTAAATATCACCTTGAAAAAGTAAATGCAATTTGAACAAATAATACGCAAAACATTTGAAAAAAAAAATAATTTAAACATTCGACAGAGCTGACAGTAGACAAAAACTACAGCAGGCATTTAGACCAAGTAGATCAAGTGATAAAAACTGAATTTGATTAAATGGAGTTAATTTGATTTGTAGACATTTTAAATACAGAGTGCTCCAGAACTCGCGCCCCAGAGAAAAATTTCAAGTAAGATAAGATATACCAGGAGTACCAGGAACATACACTGGCGGACATGGAATTTTGGACATCAAATTTATGTCAGTTCAAAAAATGTCAATGTAAACCACGCTTTATTGTCATTATGATTGACGTTTGAAACTAAAATTTGAAAGTTTTAGTTGAAATTTATATTTAGCGTCGATTTTCCGAAACAATAATGCCAGCAATACGTGTTTTTATATAAGTTTAATAAATTATTTTGATTTGTTATCATTTTTTCCATAACTATTAAGATAAAAATTACAAAAACAAAAAGTGAGGTTAGTTGCCTAAGGCCCGTTTTACATTTTTATGTCAGTCGGATGACAAATTGTCCGTGTCCGCCAGTGTAGAAAAAATTTATCTGTCAAAAAATTTTGATATTTGACATTTTTTATGTCTATTTAATAATACTGATGATTTTGTGTAGGTACCATGTGAATAAAAAGTATGGAACCAAACGATTTTTGCTTAAACTGTTAATTTTTTGGAAAAAATAATAAATAAATGATGACAGTTGATTGCAATAAAAATGGAAAATAATATTTTCTTTAGATTGAAACAGGTTTTGCCCTTGTCAATTTGTCATCTGTCGCATTCAAATAATTTTTTCTGCAATGCCGCACTTAAATGCCGAGAGCATCAAATGCAAATCAAGATAATCAATTAGTTCAGTACTTACGCGAAAACCCAATGAGTAGTGAGTACTACAGATTAACTGTCAGTTCTAACTTAACCTTTTAGAATTAAGCCATATTCAAACAATGGATAAATATTTATAAAAATCTGACATTTTTATGCTTTGACATTTTACCGATTTTTTTGCATCCAAGTGTACTATAAAAAAGTAATATTTAATCAAGAATAAAATTTTTCGAAATATTCTTTTGTTTTTGAATTCTACAATTTTTTTTTTTTAAATGGCAACCCACTATAAACCATTTCTCTCATTAAAGTTATGATTACGGAGAACTACATACTTTACTTTTTTATTGGTCTTTAGGTATCCGTAGTTATGATCTAAGAATGACAACTAAATTTAATAAACTGCAATATTGACAAAAAATCGCATAACTCAAAAACAAAACACAATTTTGTTCTCAAAATACGATCAGATTTTTTACATTACTTTAATTTATATTAACTATCATTTTATGGAGGCAAATGATTTAAAAACAAACCTCTTGGTACCATACTTTATATTTACTCTGTATGTTTTTTTTATAATTATTTAGGAAAAGTGCCAATAAAAGCCACAAATAACATTAAACAGAGTTAGGATACAGCTTCCTTGTTTCCTCTTCTAATAGTCTGTAGCAAAAAAACTTGGAAAATTATTTTTCCAACAGAAATAAATAAAGTCAAAGTGCAAAATTTAAACTCTCATAACTTCGAAATTTTTATTGGTAGAATTTTTTTAACATTTTTTTTCTTTTTTTTTTTCTGATGGGACGCGAGTTCTGGCGCACTACTACTAATAAAGTTTCAAGGTACCATTGCAGACAAAATAAATGGAACAGCAAGATCACTAAATATGAAACGGCCCTTCGACAGGAACCACATTATGAACTTGTCATTTTGAAGATTTAGAAAATACACTTGAGTGCAAAAAAAAACGCAAATTGTCAAACAAAATTGTCAAATTTCTCAGAGATTTACATAGTGTGAAAAAGGTTGTTCCCAAAAAGGTTAGAAAACTATCAAAATGTTGTATTTGGTGGTCTTGCCAGTGCAGTGTCATAGTCAGTGTTAAAAACGAAATTGAAAAACATGGAAAAACTTAATAGAAGTTTGCAATTATGAAATTGTGGATTGTGACAAAAACAACGTCAAAAAACTGGCATTATTAACAGGCCAAACACATTATAAAAAAAATCAATTTGCGTTTTCGGCATTTTCGACCGTTTGAAGATAAATATTTTTTTAAGAAAATAGATTCAAAGTTTAGCAGTACTTAGCACGTTAACATTAAAATTATTAAGAAAATCGTGTTAGCCTTCATAACAACACTTACAACGCTTGTCTTTAGAATTGTTATTTATCATTTTTTAAATAGCAACGAACTTTTTAAGAAAATTGTTAAAACATGAAAAACGGATCACTTATCAACATAATTATGCTTAATCTTTAAAAAATGTCAAATTGACATACTCGTATGAATCACATTTTGGAAAATTTTCCTGGTCTAATGATGGTTTGATGAACCAGTGGTCAAAGTTCTTGTCAAGTTACTCATTTTATCAATAAAAAAGAATCAAAGTCAGATTTATATGCATTATACATTTTTTTTTTGGTAATTATATCCAAAAATCGATGTATAATCTTCAAAAAAACTGTCACAATAAGGTTTAGCAACCGTGAAATTGAAAAACCCCCACAGCTTCCTAGACTTATAAAGGAATTGGTTATAAGTTAAAAAACTGTAACTAGGGATACCAGGATATAAACAATAAGTTTTTCCCCTCTGTTAAAAGGACTAATTCCTTTTGGTGAACCTAGGGAGCTGTGATTGGCCTTGAGTTAGTGGTACCGTTTCGGGGTCGTCCGGCGGCGGCGTGTCGGCTCTGTCGTCGTCGTCCTTGTCGCCGTGCACCATCTTGGTGTGACGCAACAGCTTCTGGAAGTGTTTGGAGGCGTAGAGACAGTTGGGGCACTCGTAGATCCTCACTTTCTCCTCGTGAACATCGCGGAGATGGTAGAGGTAGTGCCTGGGGTTTTGCGTGAAGAAGTCGCAGCTGGCGCACGAGTAGTTTCGCTTAACCTTGCACTCGGGGAGGTCTTTCTCGTCGTCAAAGTCGTCGAAAAGCGCGTCGCCGCTGCGCACTATCAGAGCCTCTCCTGATCGATGTTGCACTACCATCGACGGCACGGACATGCTAGCCCGTGCACCTGCAACAACACGACCATTCATTCAAGTCGACATGGCAACATGGAGGGAATCGATAAGGCTCTCCGGTTCTTTGGCGGCTCCTCCTTGACCCGGTTCGCGCCAAGGCCCGAGCCCCAGCTCACCTGCATGACATGGCAACGCGGAACGGGTAAACAAGCGTCATCGCCGAGCGGGCATATAATTAGGACGAGGACGCGCGAGTGCGCCGCCACCAAACAACACCCACGAAAGAGCCAAAGACACGTGTGGTAGACTTACAACTTGAAATTTCTTTCCCAAGCGATGACTTTTCTTTGACGTCAAAATCAAAATGCCAACAACAGGCAACTTTAACTTTGCGGTTTAAATGCTCTCTTCGACATACTTGGCCTAGATCGCAAGAGCAGTGGCGCAGCGGCGCCGATACGCACGAAGAACGTTGCTGGTCGGCGTCAAGGTTTCACATCGGACGAAATGACGCGAAAAGAAATTTGCTGGCGTAAATTGTTGAAACGATTAAAATATTCCGGCGAAGGATGACGACACGAATTTGCATCAATATCAACAATTGGAATTTTTCGTGTTTATTAAATCGGAGCGGCAAGAAAAAAACTGAAGGAAAAATGTCTTGTTAACTGCATTATTAAAATAAAACAAAACGGCAAAGAAAATTGGTAAAACTTGCCATAAAAAAACGTAGAAAAGTAAGGAGTTTCCTTTAAATGTGAAAAAAAATTGAATAGTTAAATACACAATAATCAGCAAAGAATAAAAATACAGGGTGCGCCAGAACTCGCGCCCCAGAGAAAAATTTCAAGTAAGATAAGATACCAGGAACATGGAAAAAATGTTTAAAAAATACTCTGTCAAAAAAATTTGATATTTGACATTTTTTTATATCTATTTAATGATACTGATGATCTTGTTATGTTTTTTTACAATTATTTAGTAAAGAGACAAAAATTTCGCTAATAAAAGCCACAAATAACATTGAACAGAGTTACAATTTAGGATACAGCTTCCTTGTTTCCTTTTTTAATAGCCTATAGCAAAAAAACCTAGAAAATTATTTTTCCAACAGAAATAAATAGAGTCAAAATTCAAACTTTAAACCCTCATAACTTCGAAATTTTTATAGATAATTTTTTTAACATTTTTTCCATCTTCCTGGTATCTTACCTTACATGGCATTTTTCTCTAGGCCGCGAGTTTTATATTCAACCAGGAATAAATGTTTCCGTTTTTCCAATAATAATCTCTTTTTTTTCTGGGGCGCGAATTCAAAGTGATTCAAAAACGGACTAGTCTTCGCAAATATTGTAGTAAATACAAAGTCGCTAAAAAGTATGGATACAGTTAAATATCATAAAAATGTTCATCAAAACTTGAAATTTGGTATACAGGGTGTTCGTTTTTCGAGCTCCACCATGATCTCAGTTATTATAAGAGATACGAGGTCGGTTAAATTAGGGCAAAGTTGCGCATTTTTATGTTGAACAATAATCTGGAAGAAAATTTATTGTGTCATTTTTAGTTTTTGAATTATTATTGGAAAAAAACGCAAATTTGTATTTTTCGTTTTTATTTTTTCAAGCAAAAACTAAAAGACCTAGGCGTTTTTAACTTGGACGTTCTTAAGGCTTTTTTTACTAGGAATCTAAATCTGTCATCGTATTTTCCAAGGCGCTCTTGATATCAGAGTTACAACACTCAACTTTGGATTTTCTTATGGACGCCATATTTGATTTATGTATTTTTGAAAAGTTTTTTTGTTCCTGATTGCAACGATGTATCACACAATATGATCAAATTTTACATGCTGATAAAAATTAAGAAAAAGCGTTTATGCAAAGAGTGCTTTGAAAAAAATGCCACCAATTTTAAGTTACTTGCCTATTATCCAAAAACTTGTATGTATTTTGTGTTTAAGCTTTTTTTAATTAAAATGTATTCTCTTCCAGTTAAAAAAAAAACGTTATTTTAACAATTATTATAACTTTTACTTATTTTTTGGTCAAAGTTCAGGCGGCAAAGAACTAACGATAGATAAAAACAACATTACCAAGGCTGACAAAATTTTACATTTTTCAAAATTTCATTAGTTCGATATTTTTTTAAAAGTTTTGATTAAAATAAGGTATGGATGTGGTTACATCATAGAACTCTTAAAAAATTAAATTTCACCCTTCATGCCATTAAAAAAAATCAAGTTAGCCTTGTATCCCTAGAGCAAATAGAAATAGAAATTTGATAAACATCTTAGTTTTACTTTTCCAGAATTACATTTTTGAATTTCAATTTTTTTTACCTTTTAATAAAAATAAAGCTGGGCATATGTTACATCACTGAATTCAGAAAAAATTGCTCTCTTAAAAATTATTAAATTTAACTCTTCGTTCCATTAAAAAAATCAAGTTAGAAGAATCTAAACACTTCTAACTGTTTACCAAATTTCAACGTGTTCTGCTACCCCGTTCTGAAAATATTTAGCTGTATCAATACTTCTATTGATAGGAAACAAAACTCAACATTGATGCATTTTTAATTGAAAAAATTATTATTTATTCAATCAGTATTCATTATTTCAACCAACAGTTCTCAGCCATTCCCATTTTTCGGGGAGTTCAAAATACGGGGTAAACAAAAAAAAACAAATAGAAAACATTGTTTTGTTTTTGGCTTTTTCACTTTTTTTAAAAGCAACTTATTTTTTTTTTTTCGATAAAAATTGAATCAAACGTAGATTGTTGTAATCCTTAGTAGGTTGCCACTTGAAAAAGTTAAAAATCTTGTAAAACTCCAAAATTTTTGATAAATTGTATTCGTAAGAAACGTCACAGTTTTATAGCACTTTATTATTCATCAATTAGTTTTTTCAATAAATAAATAGTTTTAGTAAAAAACCTTTGGTTACATACTTTTTGTTCACATGGTATATTAGTTTCGTCTGTAGCATTTAAAAAAATAAGAAAATAAAATCACTGTTCTGAAAACGGACAACAAGAAATGTGCAAAACCCGCTGAATGCTAAATAAGGTTTCCTTTTATTTTTTACATTTTATTAAAATTTTAATAAAAAATCAACAAAATTACATTAAAACCAATTTTTTGCCACTTCTTATAACAAAAGAATTTCGCCTTTAAATTGTTACCTAAGTTTGTAATCTAATGTTCTAATCTAATTCTTCATGTTTTTTGTGCCAGTTCTGTAATTAGTGACCAAAATCAAGACTAAATTTAATTCAAATGGACAAAATATAGTAATAGCAACACTACTTGCAGCTTAAAGATTCAACAAAGACTTGGAAATTAATTAAAAAAAAATACAAAACATGATATAATTTAGGAATGTGTAAAGCTCGACGTTAGGAGGAATTATAATTCCAAAATAAAATAATAAATAATAGTATTTTTGAGAAGTGTCTTCGTGTTTTCGTCAAAAAGATATCTTAAACGGACTAGAAATTAGTAAAAATACCGTCTCAGGAAGGAATAGTAAAAACAGAATACGTGCGTAGGTGCATATAAAATAAAATAAAGTCATACGCGTGAATCACTAATAGACCATCACTAACCGGTATCACGTGACCGACCTCTATCCATTAATTGTGCTAATTCTTTTTTCATACCTGTAGTGATAAATACCTTTCATAATCAAAGTTTACTTATTTAACACGAAACAATTTTACTTTATGTTATTTCAAATAAAATTCTTGGAAGCGCATAGTAAATCCGCAGAATTATTTGTTTGATTTAAAATTAGTTGACAAATCATTGTGACAGTTCCGCCACTGTCTCCTCCACAATTCATCGATGATAAGAAAATCCTAGCAAGCTTGATATCTGTGAAATTTTCCGAATAGTGCAACGCGTACACCCATTGTTATGTTTACTGGTTGGAAAAGTGCACAGCAACAAGCGACCTTGGTTGCAAAACCGATAACTTCTGCATTTGACTCAAACCGACTGGTTCCTCAGCCTTAAAATAGCATTTTTCCTTGACGACTATCTCGAAGGCAAAAATTCGAGATGGTCGCTCGGAAGAGGACAGGAAGCTGCAAGCCTTCTTCGAAAATTAAAAGTAGTTTGTCTTTGCTCCTCGTCCTTGGCGAGATTCAGCAAGACCCAGAAACCTTAATTGATTAGTCATCGCCAACTGCGGCCAATTTAAGCCAGATTCGATCAAGTGGGCCGAAATGTCATGACGAAAAACAGAAGAAAAGGCATGCACGGGATTGTCTTTGTGGCGCAACCTCAACATTGAGATACATTTTTCCAACTGCTAACAAAGTTACTATTATTGTTTAGTTACCTCTAACCTTCGATTCAACATCGGGTCTTACTATAGTAACTTGCAAAATTTTCCAACATTTATACAGAGTGTCTCAAAAATATCGAGCCAAACTTGCAGATGTAGACGGAGTTTCATAAAACAGCACTAATCATCATTTGTAAAAAAATAAGTATAAAAAAAGTTTAAGTTTATACACCGTGATTCAATAAGATCGAATCACCGCTTATGAAGTGACAGAAAATGAAAAACAGATACATTTTTCCAACTGCTAACAAAAGTTACTACATATTATTGTTTTGTTACCTCTAACCTTCGATTCAACACCGGGTCTTATTATAGTAACTTGCAAATTCTCGAACATTTATACAGGGTGTCTCAAAAGGATCGACCCAAACATATAGATGAAGACAAAGTTTCATAAAACAGGACTAATTATCACTTGTAAAAAAAAAAGTATAAAAAAAGAGTTTTGGTTCATACACAGTGATTCAATAAGGTCGAACCACCGTTTATCTAGTGATAAAAAATTAATAAAAGCGCAGAAATGTTTATGTTTTACTCGCCGCATTTTTTCGAAAATTTAAATGTTTAAATAACACAAGTGAGTAACGCTAAGTCGTCCAAATGAGGGTACGTACGGTCTTTTTTAATTACCCTGTAGATTAATTAAAAAATTATTACTATTTGCAAATTCTGAATCGATTTTTTTTAATTTCAACAATTTTAGTCAGGATTTCAGTATACAAGGTGATCAAGAATTAATTAATTAAAAGCATTTTTAACTCAATACATATTGCAACCGGATATGGATTTGTTTGATACATTTTTGATGTAACAAGATTATTGTAGGTACCTACCTAAATGTCAATAACCGGTATGGTACAGTTAAGGAATTAAAATTTCGGGTAGTATTTTTCTGTCACTGTAAACTACCTTTTACTGACATCATGACATTCATGACTGACATTTGGCAATTAAACTTTTCTGTCAGTGACGCTATTTTTTAAGTCAAAATGACATAAACACGACAAGAGTAAAAAATGAGGTTATTAATGTAAAGGTTGTTTTAGAGTTTACATTATGAAAATGACAATAATGCCCAAAATTTTAATTCCGCAACTGTACCATTAAAAAATCAGAGATGTCAACTCAAGACATTTTTGATCATTTTATACAGGGGGTGCGATACCAGGAACATAAAAAAAATTGTATGTATAATCTATTTATTACTGTTGGAATAATAATATTTTCCAAGTTTTTTTGCTACAGGCTATTAGAAGAGGAAACAAGGAAGCTGTATCCTAAATTGTAACTCTGTTTAATGTTATTTGTGGCTTTTATTGTCAAAATTTCTCTACCTTTACTAAATAATTAAAAAAACATTTACAAAATCATCAGTATAAAAAATGTCAAATATCAAAATTTTTGACAGATTAAATTTTTTTAACATTTTTTCCATATTTCTTTATTTTACTTGAAATTTTTCTCTAGGGAACGAGTTCTGACACACCCTGTATAAATATCAGGATTCTGTTAAAAAAGGATCAGCACCTAGATCTAGAAGTAGATAGTGCATTTTTTATATTGTTTGTTTTCTCAATGCATTTTTTCGACAATATAAATGTTAAAAAAAAAACACAATCTATATTCAAAATAATGGGACAGCTGTAGTTAAAAAAAGTTAATTTGGTTCTCAGTTATTTCTTAATTACAAGAACAAAGTATGTAATTGAAAATTAAATCAATAATTTACAATGAATTAGTATCGATTTGTTAATTGCAACAAGAGAACGCAAATTGTTTTTTGTCGCGATCCGTGCCCCCGTTTCCGCTCCGTGAGCCCCGCCACTGGTCCCCGCGTTGGCATCGAAACGAGTGAGCGCGCGCGCACCTCCTCGCCACTCATGCTCTCCTGCTAGCAGGAGTAACTTTGGCCACTCTTTACGCGCCTCATCTTCAAGAACGTGCACGAAAAAAACGACGAGGTGCTGGTGTGGGCTTGCTAGCGCGCATCCCCAACCGCGCCTCCATCATAAACAAGCAACGCCATTCCCACAAGACCCATCTTATCTCTTATCACCACCACCGAGAAGGTGACCACGGCGCTCCACCGGCCTTCGACAGTTATGTAACCGAGTGACATTCTTCGTTTAGAGGTCACCAGGCCACTCTTGATTATTAACTTTCAATGCGAGATTCCAACGAAAGCGAAAATAACGGACCCACCATTCCTGTCCCTTTCGTTCACCCATCTTCGCACTCACCCAGACTAAGGTCAATGGTGGGCGTGAGTCATCCTGTGTGACGTCACACGACGACGACGACGACTTAATTCGGGGCCTTTTAGGAGTTCTGCGGCTTCTTCTTGCGCCATAATTGTATTAATATCGCGATGACGCAACGAGGAGGCTTTAAATAAGCTTCTTGAGGAGGCTTTTCGCGGACGCTTCAATGACGTCATTCCCGGGAAATGGAAGATTTTCCGGTGATTAAGTCTTTGTCATGTGTTCCAACATCTGGTTTTTCGCATACATAATGCAAGGAAATTTTCGCCTCCACACCCTTTAATTTCGACCATGGAAACATAAAAAGTGCTCCGGAGGGTCGAATTTCTTGCGATCAATATTACGAGTGTTACAGTTTTCTGCACGAGGCGGCGGATGGCTGTGACGCTGTACAGGCCCGTAATGGGTATTTTTAGGCCGGCGGATGTTTATCAACAGTTTTTTTAATGATAATTCGCTGCAAATCTGACACAAAGATTGATCGTTGACCCGATAGTAAAGAGAAAATCCGTCAGTCATTGTCATTTTTAACGTCTTCTACAGCAGGAGGTTGAAGTCTAGATATGATTACATTAATTGAGACGGAACAATATTTGACCTCTCTTAAAAACACTGGACTTGCGTTATTCGTATCATCAAATAAATTTGTGATCGCGTCGTCTTTGAAAAACAAAAGTCGAATCTGTCACCAGCAATGACAGTTGGCAACAATTAAAATTTGACTTTTGTGATAAGAGAAGTAAATGACTCACCCTGAAGTTGGCTTCTCTTCAACTCAGCCCAACTGGGATTAAAAATAGATTATGATTGGTGGCGAACCAGCGAGTTCTTGGGTCTTGTGGACTTTGAAATGACGTCATCAGGTAATGATCGTGTTTGCGAATTAACCAGATAAGAAATGATAATTCAAGTCCCAATGTCAAAGATTTCACATGTAACTTGATGGCCACGTCTTATTGTTCATAATGACAGTATTGAAATTACATAAGCCACATAGATGGTGATTACATGTTTACATAAACGGAGTATTTTCATTATTTTGATTATTGTAAAGGATATAGTCAAGGTTAAGGCAAGTGGAGGAAGCGGCCAATTTCTTGGTCGGTGTTTATTGATCAAGCCTCGTATGAAGAATTCAGTGGAAAATAAACATTGAGGGGGTAGTTGGGAAATGACAGATCAATCAGCGTTGGTAATGGTTCGTAACCATAGCGACAAGAAAATTGTTTATATGTCAGTATGACAGTCAATATGGCGCAAGATTATGAATGGAGGTTAGGATAGTGTGCAAAATAGCCCGAGGCGACGTCAACCGCACGTGGTGCTGGTTATAAAAAGCCCCGAAGAAGAGCACAAATAGGTCAGAGTTTTTGGCGCTGCGAAATGAAGAGAGAGAGCGAGTCACGCGGGTGAGGAGGTTCTTTCATAGGACGCGCCCTGCGTTATGTCACCGCAAAAGTACAAAGTATACCTGTTCGAGTCGTGTCGATCCGTCGTCGTCTTCACCTTCAAATACGTCGTTGCGAACTGTTTACGTATCGATAAGAGCGCTCCAAGGACGTGGTGCGATTAGCGACCGTATGCGAAGGTGCGTTGCGGTCGGCCAATTAAGGTCTTCGGTGTCGAAGACGTCGCTGCGACGACCTTCAAGACGTCTAAAAATGTGGCACGGTGGGCGTCGGCACCAGCACGGGCCGTCCAGTTGCACAAGCCTTCGGCGAAGATGTCGCAATAGTTGGCACGAGGCGCGCGCTGCCAGAGGATGATGAGGCAGCAGCAGACACATGCACACGAGACACCGGGCCGAGGAACACTGCAGATCGGTACGGTGAGAGTTCCTCTTCGCTGCTGCTGCGTCAGCTGCCGGGGCGGCCAGCCGGCGGACCCTCGTGTGCTTCGCCGCCGCACCCTCTGCCTCTCTTTGTCGCCGCGTCGCTAGCAACGGGGAGGGCAATCGATGATGCACAACCGAGACCATGGTGCCTGCCTGCGTTGGCCCTCTTTTATGGATTCCTCCTCCTCCGAGTTGGACATCGATCGACAAAGAGACGATGCCCGAAGAGATTAAACGACACACGCTGACCCCACGATTATACTTAAACCGACCGAAATAGAGACAACGACGACCGGGGCACACGGGATGCGAGCTAGCCTTCCTTCATGGTCTCGGCCATTACGAAGCCAAGATATTTTGCAACAATTTGCTTTATCTTCCGATTAATCGATGAGTAGTGTAAGAGATCTTGCACAAGACAAAGAGAACAAACTTATCTCCTTAACACAATTGGTTTAATTGTTCAAACAAGGAAAATGATAAGTTTTCGATTGATGATACAATTCAGATTTTATACTTTATTATTCCTCATTATATGATTCACCGGTTACTCCTTACAAAAATGAACATATTGGTATTTTACTTCCAACTTCCTCCACTTTTAAGATTTATTCCCTTTCCAGCAGGTATTGAAATACATGTCACAAACGAAATAAAAACATTGCAGATAAACGAAGAGATTATTCTCAAAATTGTTGTAACGAATTAAATGTAATAGACGTGTTAAGCATTTTAAATGAAATTATTTAGTTTTTTTAGTTTCCCGGAAATGACATTGAGTACACTAACTCTTTTATTAGATTAGTCAAAAGTATACTATGTACACTGGAAGGCATAAAAACGCGAATTGTCAAAAACAAAATTGTCAAATTTTTCAGATTTACATACAAGTGCGCCAAAACTCGCGCCCCAGAGAAAAATTTAAAATAAGATAAGATACATACCAGGAACATGGAAAAAATGTTTAAAAAATTTATCTATAAAAATTTTGAAGTTATGAGAGTTTAAATTTTGCACTTTGACTCTACAGGGTGCGCCAGAAATTTACATTGTGTGTGAAAAAAGGTTAGAAGTGTTCCCAAATAGGTTAGAAGTGCCTTATTTGGTGATCTTGACAATGCAGTGTCATAGGTAGTAAGAGTTAAAAACGAAATGGGGAAATGGAAAAACTTGACAATTATGAAATTGTGACAAAGACAACGTCAAACAACTGACACATATTAACAGACCAAATTACATTATAAAAAATCAGTTTGGGTTTTTTTTTTTGCACTCAAGTGTACAGTTACGGAATTTTTCTGTCATTTCAAAAAGATCACTGTAAACTACCTTTTACTGTCATCATGACATTTATGACTGACATTTGACAATTAAACTTTTCTGTCAGTGACGCTATTTTTGAAATCAAAATGACATAAACATGACAAGAGTAAGAATGAGGTTATTAATGTAAATGTTTAATGTTAGAGTTTACATTGTGAAAATGACAGTACTGCCCGAAATTTTAATTCCGCAACTGTACATGTATTCATATTGATACGAACATTATCAAAGTGAAATCTGTGTACAGTGACTTAAAAATTGACTACTTTTACTTGCTCAGATTAATCGCTATTTTTCCCACATAATTGGAGCTTAATGGCAAGTTTAAGGCCAAAAGTGCACCAATTCAAAAAATATAAGAAGAAATAGAGTATAAGATTAATTTCTGCATAATTTAGCAACGTCGAAATTCCGAAAAACAGAAATTGGGCAAAAAATTATTTCAATGTTAAAAAGAACTGAATAAAAGTTAGACAAACAAAATCTTAAACTAGTTTTAATTCCTCCTTCCTTTTGCCTTTTCGCTGTCTCGAAATCAGAACAAAAAAAACTTGACTTGCTTCCAAATATTTTGTTTTCCACCAGAAGCTAGAAACTAGGTAACTTCTTATGAACTTGGAGTGCAAAGATACCACCATCACCAAAATAAATCCCTATTCTGAGACCCAATTTCCTCCTCCCTACGTATTCTTGAACGGTTTTTTCACTTGTTATCAAAGAACAATTAAAATTAAACTACTTGTTATAAAGATAAATATTTACGAGTACATATAAGACTGAAAATGAAAGTAAATTGAGTATTTAATCTTTTTTTAATTAAATTTAGGGTTGGAATTGAATGAAAAATTTCATAAACACAGTTAACATTTTTGCTTGAACACCCATGAACAGGGGAACTTAATTATTATGAAATTTATTATGAATTATTGGAAAACTTTTTTTTTATAAAATGTGTTTCAACAAGGGTTTAATTTTTATTCTATTTGGCATTAGGCATTAAATAAACATTCGAAATAAAATTTATGACAACTCGAGTTTAATTTTTTTTACTAATTTTCAATTTTTTTTTTCAGCGTGGCCTGTCATTCTAAAACTAAGTTGGCAACGCCAAATGAAATAAAGGCAGAAGATTTGACATGTGTCATATTTTCTGTCTACGTATTTCAATGTCGCCAACCCAAACCCTAAAATCACAGGCCACTCTGATCGGAAATTAAATTAAAGGCAAATGAATAACAATTGACAAGTTTGACGTTTGAATTTAAAAGTCAAAGTTGACACCAACTTGAGGTGAAAAATCAAATCATTTACGATCACCCGGTATTCCTGTAAAATGTCAAGTGTCACACTTTTCTATAGGTAGTAGAAAAAAAATCATTCAACAAGTGGTGAACGCTGTTTCTCTTTGAAAATAAAAATAACGATGTTTCTACTAGATTTCCACTGTTTTCGTCGGAAAACAAACCATTGTGGAACACGTCTGCTCACCACCTACGTGGAACGTTGGATTGTACTTGAATTTTCTTGGAAATCAACTTTTTAAAAGGTTGTTTGTTGACTCGAATGCCCTTACTAAAAACCCAGTATCATTAGCGACATTTTTGATTTTCTTTTATTTGCCATTCACATGTTTTAAATGACCAGGTTCTGCCATGACCTAGTCTACGTTAGGTGCAATTAATTTTTTCGTCGTTTTCATCGGACCAGCTTCAAGATTTTAGTAGAAAATTAGCTATTTTTACAATTATTCGTTTAATTACACTGCAATAAAATTTTACTCGTCGTTTGACAATGAAAATATAAATTCAAAAAAATTCTTTAGTGCGTCCATAAAAACGAACATTAACGCAACATGTCGACCGGCAAATATTAAAAATAGTACCGAAGATGGGACACACGTGTTGAAAAAATTACACAAAATCAAGGACATATTTCTTAACACGACTAAATACCAAACCAAATACTATTCAAGGTCATAATTGGCCAACGAGAAAATCGACCACCGATCTGTACCGACTATTCTTAGATCGGAATAACTGCGATATTAGCACAGGACCGGGATGAGGCTCGCAGCCCACATTGACTAATAGATAGGTGTTATCTTATTTGCTCTCTTTCAAACCCGCTCTTGGTGTTGAAAAACTCAAACGGTTGGTAATTTTTATTGACTTATTTGGGAAAAAGCGCCGCAATGGAAAATCACGTAAATGGGTCTTCGGCTACTAGGCACTTCTTGTGTATTGATCTAGTGATAAGATAACTCAGAGTTGTTACACTTAACTCTTTGGCAATGTTGATTTTTTCCACACCGTTCAAATTTAATCGCAATAACTGTTTCAGTAGAGATAACGGCGTTTTATTATTTAGGTAGGACTATTTATTATTTCTTTGTCTGATTTTCAATTGACTTCATATCTTATCAATTGAACATAAGCTTCGGTCTTTTTTTCTCGACCTTCAACGAAAATAATAATATCTACGTGACAGTTTACTGTGTCATTTTTTCGGTCTTTTCATATAATCAGTACTAATCAAGTATTTCTTGTAGATATGTGCTAAGATTAGACGTCTTATCTCGAACAAACAGAATAATTAAACACACTTTTAGTAAAAATTGAAAGGATAGATTAGAGTTGGGATTTCTAAGAACTCTGTACTAAACCACACCTCACTAAAACCTAAAGCCTTGCACAATCGATAAGATTCAACTTCATAACTGTTATCTTCAACAGTAAGAATTTTACAACGTAAGGAATACATAGGAAGAAGATTATTACGACGCCCACGCTATTCAATAACGCAAGATTCACGCTGGATGAGCATTAATGGTCCACGAGGCGTGGACGATATTCTAATTATCTTTATTAATAACATCAGAACTGAAAAAACACGGAAAATTTGCAGTTTCCCAACCCCGCATGAATAGTATATTGCAACCCAGTGGAGAAACATGTCACCCCAGCGAAAACAATTTTGATAAGTTCGTAGTCTTGGTAATAAATTAACTTTCCGACCAAGTGATGCAAAATGCAAGGCATATTTCCCAACCCCCAAAACCTTATACATCAATGGTTGTGAAGAATATGTTAAAATTTGTAATAAATATTATAAAGCTATAGTAGATTTCATTGAAATTGGTATAATAGTTGGCTATGGAATTTAATATTTAAGTTTGTAGCCCTATGCATGATAGCAGATGGGGTTTTTGTTTTTCCTTGATTACATGGTTCGTTGAACTAACGTCATTGTGACATTTGAATTCGTTTTTTCACTGTTTTCGTTGCTTGTTCGTTATTCCCTGTATTTTTTTCAAATTATAATAATTAAAAGTAGTTCTCGTCAGAACCCCAAATTTAGAGTACACGTAAAGGTATGTTTGAAAACATAATCAATTCCTTTTTGTTCCTGTTTTAGGTTAATGTTATTTTATTTTCTCCAAAG